AGTACTATGTCAAACAGGAGTGGCGAGAGTGGGCATCCCTGTCTTGTTCCTGTTCTTACAGGGAATGGTTTTAGTTTTTGCCCATTGAGTATAATGTTGGCTGTGGGTTTATCATATTGTATATAGCTTTTATTATGTTGAGGCATGATCCTTGTACTCCCACCTTGTTAAGAGTTTTTATCAGGAAAGGGTGTTGGATTTTATCAAATGCTTTTTCTGCATCAATTGATATGACTATATGATTTTTATTTTTCAATTTGTTTATGTGATGTATTACGTTTATTGATTTACGGATATTGTACCATCCTTGCATTCCTGGAATAAATCCTACTTGGTCATGGTGTATGATCTTTGTGGTGTTCTTCTGGAGTTGATTTGCTAGAATTTTGTTGAGGATTTTGGCATCTATGTTCATGAGGGATATTGGCCTGTAATTCCCTTTCATTGAGTTGTCTTTATCTGGTTTTGGTATTAGGGTGATGCTGGTTTCATAGAAGGAGTTTGGAAGTGTTCCTTCCTCTTAGATTTTTTGGAATAGTCTGAGGAGGATAGGTTTTAGTTCTTCCTTGAATATTTGGTAAAACTCTCCTGTGAAGCCATCTGGCCCTGGGCTTTTGTTTGCTGGAAGCTTTTTGATGACTGTTTCAATTTCTTCCCAAGTCACTGGTCTGTTGAGATTTTTAGATTCTTCCTGATTGAGTTTTGGAAGTTTGTATTTTTCTAGGAATATGTCCATTTCCTCCAGGTTGTTCAGTTTGTTGGAATAGAGTTGTTTGTAGTATTTTGTAACAATCCATTGTATTTCGGTGGGGTCTGTTGTTATTTCACCTCTTTCATTTCTGATTTTGTTTATTTGGGTCCTCTCTCTTTGTTTCTTGGTTAGCCTGGCTAGAGGTTCATCTATCTTGTTTATCCTTTCAAAGAACCAGCTCTTGGTTTTGTTGATATTATGTATTGTTCCTTTGGTCTCTATGTCATTTATCTCTGCTTTGATTTTTGTTATTTCCTTCCTTCTGCTTACACTGGGCTTTTCTTGTTGCTCTTTTTCTAACTCTTGGAGTTGTAGAGTTAGATCATTAGCATTTTTTCTAGTTTTTTGCAATAGGCTTGTAAGAATATGAACTTCCCTCTCAAAACTCTTTTGCTGTGTCCCATAGATTTTGGATTGTTGTGTTTTCATTGTCATTTGTTTCCAGGATTTTTTTTAATTTCTTCCTTGATTTCTCTGGTAACCCAGTCCTTGTTTAATAGCATGCTGTTTAGTCTCCATGTTTGATTTTTTTTGGATTATTTTTATTGTAGTTAATTTCCAGTTTTATGCCATTATGATCTGAGAAGATGCTTGATATGATTTCTATATTCTTGAATTTGAAGAGACTTTGCCTATGTCCCAAAATGTGGTCTATCTTTGAGAACGTTCCATGTGCACTTGAGAAGAATGTATATTCTGTGGCTTTGGGGTGGAATGTTCTGAAGATGTCAATTAATTCCATCTGGTCTAGTGAGTCATTTAGGATTGATATTTCTTTGCTGATTTTTTGTTTAGATGATTTGTTGAAGGGTGACAGTGGGGTATTAAAATATCCTACTATGATTGTATTGCTATTAATCTCTCACTTAATGTCCTCCAGCAGTTTTTTTTATATATTTGGGTGCTCCTGTATTGGGTGCATATATATTTACCAGGGTTATTTCTTCTTGTTGGATTGTTCCTTTTAGTATTATGAAGTGGCCTTCATTATCTCTTGTTATGACCTTCACTCTGAGATCTAATTTGTCAGATATAAGTATTGCTACCCCAGCTTTTTTTTCATTTCCATTTGCCTGGAAATCTTTTTTCCATCCCTTCACCCTCAGTACGTGTGCATCTTTTTTTCTGAGGTGGGTTTCTTGTAGACAACAGATGTATGGGTCTTGTTTTCTCATCCAATCTGTCACTCTATGCCTTTTGATTGGAGCATTTAACCATTTACATTTAAGGTTATTATTGATAGGTACTCATTTGACACCATTTTTATTCCATACCCTTGTTCCTTCTTCACTTCTTTATTTTTACAGTAGACCCTTTAGCATTTCTTGCATTGCTGGTTTGGTGGAGATAAATTCCTTCAGTCTTTTTTTGTCTGTGAAGCTCCTGCTTTCCCCTTCAATTTTGATTGATTGCCTTGCGGGGTACAGTATTCTTGGATTCAGACCCTTCCTTTGCATGACTTTGTATATTTCATCCCATTCCCTTCTGGCCTGATAAGTTTCTGTTGAGAAATCAGTTGCTAGTCTGATGGGGGTTCCTTTGTATGTAACTTTCTGTCTCTCTCTGGCTGCTTTTAAGATTCTTACTTTGTCGTTGATTGCCAATTTAATTATAATGTGCCTTGGCATCTGTCTTCTGGGATTCATTTTGCTTGGGACTCTGAGAGCATCTTGGATTTGTGTGGGTTTTTTCTTCTCTATCTCAGGAAAGTTTTCTGTTATTATTTCTTTTATTAAAAAAATATATTTTATTGATTTTTTACAGAGAGGAAGGGAGAGAGATAGAGAGCTAGAAATGTCGATGAGAGAGAAACATCGACCAGCTGCCTCTTACACACCCCCTACTGGGGATGTGCCCGCAACCAACATACATGCCCCTGACTGGAATCGAACCTGGGACCTTTCAGTCCGCAAACCGACGCTCTACCACTGAGCCAAACTGGTTTCGACTCTGTCATTATTTCTTGAAATACTTTTTCCATGTCTACCTCAGTTTTCTTTCCTTCTGGAACCCCTATTATTCGAATATTATTTTGTTTTGTATTGTTCCAAAGCTCCCATAGGATCTCCTCCTGCTTTTTAATCTTTTTTTCTAGAAGCTGCTCTAATTGGGTATTTTTTTTTCCATCTTGTCTTCTAGCTCACTGATGCGGTCCTCTGCTTCATCTAGTCTGCTCTTGATGCTTTCTATTGAGTTCTTCATGGTAGTGATGTCATTTTTCATTTCTTCTTGGTTCTTCAATTCCTCTTGGTTCTTCTTCAATTCCTCATGGTTCTTCTTCAATTCCTCATGGTTCTTCCTCATTTCTTCTTGGTTATTGTCAAATTTCTCTTCCATTTTTTTTAGCCATCCTATAATCATTACTCTGAATTCTTGCTCTGGTAGGCTGCTTGCCTCTGCCTCGTTTACTTCCTTTTCTGGTGATGCCTGCTTTTCTTTCATGTGCAGGCTATTTCTCTGTCTCCCCATGGTCTCTCTTTTCAGGATGTCTGGTTATGTGGTGTTCCTTCTCCTAGCATGCAAACACATTTGACATTCTGCTTGGGGTTTTCAAACAAGAGTTCACCACACCTTTTCTGCCCAATCAGGAATGAATCCTGTTGGAAGCTGCCCTTTGTCTTCACTAGCAGAGAGTATCTTTGTAATTTTAATTAATATGCATATGCTTCTAGTGTTGTTCTAGCAACTATCTATAAAACTTCTTGCTTCTCAACTTTGGAAGATAAAGATGTTAGTGTACCTATTTTTTTCTTCTATCTCTTTCTCTGCTCCCAAATTCTCCTGTATTTTTCTTTAATCTATCATGGCTGATAATATTATTTGGTAACCATAATGAAGCCCTCTGTGTTTACCTTTAAGTTGATATTCTATTAGTTGAAAACATTATTATTATTATTATTCACATGAAGCCAAATAGCATGCCAAGATATAGTTTCTTTCTATATAGCTAGCCCCAGTGTCTCCCCTTTGTGCCACATCTACTAAAAAATAATAATAATAAATTTTTTAAAATTGCAAATTCTGAAAATCTGGCCAAATGTTATTTTTGTTTCATTTTTTAAATATGTCCTATTTGAACATTTTCCCCTAGAATTTCTGACTGGGACTCTTATTTTTACTGAAGAAATATGTCTCCTTCACCATATTGCTATTGTCTTCTAGCTTCTTCCACATTCTCATCTATTGCTTGGAATCCATTCCATTTTTTCCTTCTTCAACCCACTAGCTTCTGAGTCTCATAGAGACCCATTGGGGCTTAAATGAACCAAGAGTTTCTTGTAATTTGTCATTGTTATTGTCCTTCTCTATCTAGCTATTCCTCTGCATACTCAGATTCTGCTTCATTGTTTCTTTGTGTTGGGATCCACATTGTATCCGGGGTTCCACTTACTCCTTTGTGAGTCTCCCACATTACCCCATCTACGTAACTCCACCCATGTACTCATGTTCTAACAAATATAATCACTTAGATTCTTCATTGCTTCTCCTAGTTGTCTAGTAGAGCTTGGAAAAAAGCACCAGCAACACAGTAATTTAATATTTTAGTGCTGGCTTACTTTTGTTTTGTGGTCTGTATTAAAACACACACACACACACACACACACACACACACACACACGTCTCTGCCTCCCATTTTGAATTCCTTTTAGGTCTATTGTTTCAAGAACACCAGGAAGACATCTACCACCAAAATTATTTGTGTGCTGGAAGCTATTTTATGTCTTATTTGGCGACTGCTATAAAGACATGTCATATATAGACTGTACAGATAGCTGACATGAAGCCACTGCCTTAGGGCACATTCTAGGCAGTTTTCTTCAGAGACCAAGAACACAGGACTTACATTATCAATGAAGAGATGAATAAAGGATAAATATATTTTTAAAAATATATTTTATTGATATTTTACAGAGAGGAAGGTAGAGGAATAGAGAGTTAGAAACGTCGATCAGCTGCCTCCTGCACACCCCCCACTGGAGATGTGCCCACAACCAAGGTACATGCCCTTGACCGGAATCGAACCTGGGACTCTTTTTTTTTTTTTTTTTTTTTGAACCTGGGACTCTTGAGTCCCAGGCCGACGCTCTATCCACTGAGCCAAATCGGTTAGGGCGAGGATAAATATTTTTTAAAGGGGCTCCCTTTCCCCTTCCCCAAATTACATCACACAACTAGAATCTCTGAAATGCTTTTATTCCCTGTTCAGCGATCCTTACTAACACGTTTTGCACTGTCTTTCCTGTGACAGGGCCTCAAATCCTGATGATTGCAGTCTTCACGCTCACCGGCACTGTGGTCCTGCTCCTGCTGGCTGCGCTCCTGGTGCTAGGGTACCCACTCCCTCTTGGGCTGTGATCCTCATTCTGAGAGGAACGAGGGAGGGATGGAAGAGAGAGGGAGGGAGGGGGGAAGGGAGGGAGGGAGAGACGGGTTTAGTGGCTATTGCTGATGATGTATGTGCACAAAGAGGTCTCTTAGACAGGTGTAAGATCCATAATTCTAATGTATCCATATTCTCTGGGAAAACAATTACAAAACTTTGACATTTTGAATGTTGGGATGGGTATTGTTACAAATTCTCTGTGCCTTTGTATTTTCCTCCTACATATGTTTCCGAAGGCACAGATACACAAGATTGAACTGGCTTACTTAGGAATCTGGTATATTCTCAGGTGGTTTAAAAATTTGTGTTTCTGCCTTTCAAGGTTATCAATTTAAAATGTTTTTCTTTCCTCTTTCTTTCCCCTCTCTTTGCATGCTATCAGTTCAGATTCTTTATTATAGTGAAGGTCTGTATTGGTGAAGGACCCAAGAAAGTGAAACAAAAAGGGGGAAAAGTAACATAAAAGGCCACGGAAATCCTTATAAGTTCGCTAATGGCCAGCGCTCGCCAGGTTGGAGAGTTGTAATTGGGCTGGCCTCACTCACCACGTATCTACCTGAGAATGCCAGAGTTTGAAATTCCTCCCAGTGTTCAGAAGCTGAACAGCATGAATACTAATAAGAACCAATTGACTGGTTCTGTTCCTTCCACAGAAAATACAAAAAAGAGAATGAACGTCGTCAGAAAAAATGGTCCCACATTCCCTGTGAAAACATCATTCCTCTGGAGACCAATGAGACCAACCACGTGAGCCTGAAGGTAAGGTGCCCTCACCTTTGGAAGAAGCCTGTGTAGAGCTGGTGCAGGTTGCCAGGTATTGGACAGGCGCCGGTAGACGGTGGGAAATGAGCCAAGCAGGGATCATTTCTTTCAGCATCTAAGACTTCGATATTATTTCACTCACCGTTTAAAATGCCCCTAAGAAGTCAATTTTAACCAATTATTACAACAGATCACAGGTTTTTATGAGAATCAACTTGAAAGATGCAATAGGTCTCAACCTTTCGTCTGCCTTTGAAGTCTGGTGGACCAAGGGCCATGTCTGACCTGCAGGGGTGTGTGTGTGTGTGTGTGTGTGTGAATCTTTATCATCTTTTAAAAGCCATTGCCAAATATAAAAATCTTGGAATGGCTGGAAAAGTTCAGATTACCAGCTTCTTCTGACAATTCAGATGATCCAGCCACTCTCTCGGCTGCAACTAGAGCTGATGGGGCTGCCCCCCTCAGACACCCGGCCCAGTGTCCTCGCTGCATTGCCACTTGGGCATTTAGACATGAGTTTGCAACTCCAATGCACAGCATGTTCCCCCTAAGATAAGGTGACCAGACGTCCCGCTTTTGGTGGGACAGTCCTGGTTTTTAACAATTTGTCCCACGGCTTTTTAAAAAGTCCCGATTTTCAAAAATCGGGACTATTTTATTTAATTTATTTATTTATTATTATTTTTTAAATAAATCTTTATTGTTCAGATTATTACAAATGTGATCCTCTTCCCCCCCTCAATTGCTCCCCTTCACCAGGTTCCCACCCCACCCTCTGTCCTTTCCCCATCCCCCATTGTCCTCATCCATAGGTGCACAGTTTTTGTTCAGTCTCTTCCCGCACCCCCACTCCCCTTTTCCCTGAGAATCGTCAGTCCACTCCCCTTCCATACCTCTGATTCTATTATATTCACCAGTTAATATTGTTCATCAGATTTTTAAATTCCCTTGGTTTTTAGATTCACTTGTTGATAGCTACGTATTTGTTTATCATAATTTTTATCTTTATCTTCTTCCTCTTCCTAAATAACCTCCTTCAGCAATTCATATAATTCTGGTTTGGTGATGACGAACTCTTTCAGCTTTTTTTTATTTGTGAAGCTCTTTATCTGTCCTTTGATTCTGAGTGATAGCTTTGCTGGGTAGATTATTTTTGGCTGTAGGTTCTTGTTATTCATCACCTTGAATATTTCTTGCCATTCCCGTCTGGCCTGCATGGTTTCTGTTGAGAAATCAGCTGACAATCTTATAGGGTGCTCCTTTATATTAAATAGGTCACTACCTGCTTTTCTCTTGTTGCTTTTAATATTCTCTCTTTGTCTTTTGCTCTTGGAATTTTAATTATGATATGTCTTAGTGTGGTCCTCCTTGGATTCCTTTTGTTTGGGGTTCTGCGGGCTTCCTGGACTTGTAAGTCTATTTCTTTCCCCAAGTGGGGGAAGTTTTCTGTCACTATTTCTTCTAGTGTTCTTTCGGTATCTTGCTCTCTCTCTTCTGGAATCCCCATAATTCTGATGTTGGTTCGCTTGAAATTGTCCCAGAGGTTTCTTACACTATCTTCAACTTTCTGGATTCTCTTATCTTCTCCCTTCTGCAGAGGAGTGTCCTCTGGCTCTTTGTGTTCTAAATCTTTGTCTTGATTCTTGCAATCTTCCAGTCTGTTTTTAGGACTTTGTATAATATTTTTTATTTCAGACAATGTTTTCTTCATTTCTTGTTGATCCCTTATTATTTCTAGTTGCTCCCTTTTCATATCCTCATAGGTCTCATTTATTTTATCGGCCTTTTTTAGGATATTGTTGAATAACCTTATAACTGTAGTTTTGAACTCAATGTCCAATCTTTTCTTTTCCTCCATCTCCTTTCTTTGTGTCCTTCTTCTTGTCTGCATTTTAGTTGTTTCCCTGATTTGATGGAATAGCTTTGTGTGCTAGGTGTTCTGGTAGAGCCCAGTAGCACAGCCTTCCCAGTTACCTGCAGTGGACAGTCTTGGTGTAGCCCTTTGTGGGCTGTGTGTGCAGTCTTGTTGTTAAGCCTTGCTTATTGTTGGTATCACTGGGAAGCGTTGATCTCCAAGCCAATTGGCTGTGAGGATCAGCAGTGTCTCAGCTAGGAGGGTTTCCGTACTCTGCTTGAATAGGGCGGGGTCTCGGGGTGGCGCAGACAATCTTTGGTTCCCTGTCAGTCTTGCCTTAGAAAAGTCCTGTTCATGGAGAGTTTTGGAAGATTGGTTGCAGGCGTGTGCGCGCACCTCTTTGGTAAAGGCGCAGACAAGCTTTGGATTCCTGCAAGTCCCTCCTTAGAGAAAACCAGCCTCTGGGAGAGCTTCTGTGCTCAGCCACAGGTAGGGCGGAGTCTCGGGTTGGTGCAGACAAACTTTGTTTTCCCTTTGGCTCCTTCCCAAGTCCCGCAGTAATGGCCTCTGGCTTCACACACCTCCAAGAGATCTCTGCCCACTGCCCGACAGTCTGGCCTCTCCCTGTCTGGGGCCGTTTATCAGAGCAATAGGGTGATTCTGTTTTCCTCTCAGACAAGAAAGCCAGCCACGTTAGCTGTTCTCCCTCTCCGCGCCAGGAGTAAGCCAGTAGCGAACTCAGCCCGGCCCGCCCTCTCTGCGTGCAGGGAGTAAGCCAGCAGCAATCTTGGTCCGGCCCTTCCTCTCCGTACCGGGATTAAGCCAGCGCCTTTTCGTGCACACAGTTCTCCGTACCTTCACAGTTCCTGAGGTTCAGCGTGCCTTCTCTCTCCTTCCCAGATGGCAGAGCCTCCTCTCAGCCAGCCGTCTGGCGCTTCAGGGCAATGCCTCCCCTGTTTTTCAGTTCTAAATTCAAATTTGTTGTGGTAGGCTGCATTCGGGTGTCTACCCTATGCCGCCATCTTGATTTCTCCTATTTTATTTTATTTAAATATATTTTATTGATTTTTTACAGAGAGGAAGGGAGAGATATAGAGAGCTAGAAACATCGACCAGCTGCCTCCTGCACACCCCCCACCGGGGATGTGCTCACAACCAATGTACATGCCCTTGACTGGAATCGAATCCGGGACCCTTCAGTCTGCAGACCAAGGCTCTATCACTGAGCCAAACCGGTTTCGGCAAAAATCGGGACTTTTTTTTAAAACACCTCGGGACGTCTGGTCACCTTATCTTTCCAAAAATCGGGACTGTCCCGCCAAAAGCGGACGTCTGGTCACCTTATCCTAAGAGCAACTGTCTGTTGCTACAGGCAATGATTCCCACGAGGCGGGGGCAGGGGGGAGAAGGAAGCAAGGAAACCCTGGCTGAAGTAGAACACAAGGAGAAGGGGGGGACAGCACAACTCTACGAGGAAGCGGAGGGAACCCGAAGGTTAGCATCTTGTTGCAGAGCAAAGGCGAGTTGTGAGAGAAACACAAGTCAGTTGTGACAGTTCTCCTGGGAGTCTGCTCAGCAGGCTGTGAGCGAGTAGACGCCGCTCACCTGGCGGAGGCTCCCGGCCTTTGATTGGCAGTGGATGGGACAAGACAGGAAGCTTCTGGAATAATTAACCTTTTCTTGTACCAGATCGATGATGACAAGAGACGGGATACAATTCAGGGTCTACGACACTGCAAATACGACAAAAAGGTGACTATTGTCTCTCCCTGCTTCTCTGAACTCTCCTCGGTGAGGGGTGTGCTCTGGGCCTGCTGACTCACCCCTTCCCCTTTCAGAGGCTGGCGGTGCAGAGGTAGGCATGGGTGCAGGGCTGCTCCAGGGCTGTTCTAGGCGCCTTTCACAGGGATGGGCGGGGCTCTGCTTCAAGGGTTACAGACTCACAGCCTGGGGAAAATCAAAGAATGCATACCATTTTTTAAGATAGGTGGAGTGTAGGAAGTGAAAGGAAAAATAAAAGAGATTCAGAGCAGTCCAGGCAGCCTTGGTATTATATATTTTGCCTCATTTAGTGAGAATAAGACAATTCCACTTAAGGTTTCCTTCCTTCCTTCCTTCCTTCCTTCCTTCCTTCCTTCCTTCCTTCCTTCCTTCCTTCCTTCCTTCCTTCCTTTCTTCCATCTCATTTAGTCATTCTTAAAGATACATTCAAACCTGAGCCTCTCATATCCAAGGGACATAAACATCAACAAAATACTGTCACTGCTCTCAAGAGTTTACAGTATAGTGGGGAGATAACAAAATATTATAGTATGCTACAATATTATACATATAAATAGTCATGCTACAACTTTACCTTCTTAATTCAATTGATCTTTGCAGAGAGTGATTCTAAAGGATCTCAAGCACAACGATGGCAATTTCACTGAGAAGCAGAAGATAGAACTGAACAAGGTATGGGTTCAATTTCTATGACCTTTTGATTGAAACCCATAAGTGAGAAAGAGCATCACTGCATTTCCCCTAAGCACTGAGGGCCTAGGACAGCAAGGCATCACTGGGGATGCTGACAGAGAAGCCCTCAGGCCGAGAAATGGGTGACCATACGTATTCGTGTTGAAGATTCTACCAACACATGTTGGAGAATGATGTTTGATGGTGTAAAACATGTTGGAAATCTAATAGCATATTCTACAAAATGGTCCTGATATTGAGAGTAGTCAAAGGTTTGTATTCGAGTCCCCTTGCTGAGGAAAGAAAGACTGGTTGATAAGATGAGTTGCAATGCGTACTAAGAAATGTACTGACATTCCAAATTGTCTTCCCAAAGATCTAAAACACGTTTTATTAGCATATTAATTTGTACTGTGGTGCTGCTTTCTCGCTGACTTGCTTTGTAAATAAACATGTTATCTTAGTTGCTTCAGATTGACTATTACAACCTAACCAAATTCTACGGAACTGTGAAGCTTGATACCATGATCTTTGGGGTGATTGAATACTGTGAGCGAGGATCCCTCCGGGTAAGGACAATTTCCAATTTCCTAACTGATCACCCATATAGAAAAATTAAAAAAAAAAAAAAAAAAAATATATATATATATAGAGAGAGAGAGAGAGAGAGAGAGAGAGAGAGAGAGAGAGAGAGAGCATAGTACAATCAGATATGGTTAATTCTATGAATTCAAAAATATCACTCTCATGTATCATATCAAAAGGTCATAGAAAGAAAAAAGACCATGTAATGCTGAAAATGAACATTAAAATTAAAAATATATATAATTTAAATAAAACATGTCTAATGATAACAATTACATGAGGGCTATACCATACTCGGATTCATTTAATTTCAACGAGACAGCAATTTTAGAATACCAGTTCACAAAGTCTGGTCAAAGGGTCTTACAGAGTCTTTTACTCCCTAAAACGCTCAGCAAACATTTGGGTATCATACCTATAATTTGGGGGGCTCTCTACCCTAAGGTAGGAAATTTCAGTTATCTCAATGGTCCGGGACCCCCTTCTGACATTGCTGAGTCCTCCTGGGCTCAGACAACAACAGAAGTTTCTACAGGAAACCACCCCTTTGTACCATGAACCTCAAAGCAAAGGCTGTGCAGAGGCAAATGGCAGCCCCCTCCTTGTGCATCCTTCAGGCTCCAACCATGGCAAATCCCATCAGAACCTACTTTTGTGGGGAAACAAATCAGAAAGTTTCACCCTAAATGGGATAAAGACAATTTGCTTCCTGCCTTATAAATACACCATCCCTGCGGCTAACCTGGGGTAGGAACAACTGACTCATTCAAGCAACAAACATCTATAATAATAAAAGGGTAATATGCTTATTAGACTGGACATCCTTCCAGATGCCCTTCGGGATGAAACAGGGGCTATTAGGGGAAGCCAGTAGCAGCAGCTGGGGGAAGGAAGGCTTACTCTTGCATGATTTTCATGCATCGGGCTTCTAGTTTATTAAATAAAGATTTATTCCAAGCCAGACACCGAACGAAATGCTGCAGAAACTTCAGTGAACAAAAATTATCAGAGTCTATGTGTTCATGAGGCGAAGAGATAATAAACATAAACAAAATATAAAATATGTTGGGTGCTAAGGGAAATAATTACTTTAGAGTGTGTCTGGGCATAGCTCCCCTCCCTTGACTTGGCGTGGTACCTACAGTCCAGCCAGCCTTATTTGAAATGAATGATGACTTTGGACCCTTTGCTTTGAAATTATTGGTATAGTGCCTGACTTAAAACTAAAGGTCAAATTATGCTTTTTCCCCCAAAACAAGAAACTACTGATAGGTTATTAGAACTCTACTATGAAGAATTGTTACTAGCTTAGAACCATTATCTTGTTGGAACCATCACCATGTTAAAATATTGAGCTCAAAATTCTAGGTCATACAGTTCACACAAAATCCCGAAGCTCTTGTCTTATTGACAGAGGACTTAGTAAACTAAAAAAATAAACAAACAAAAAAACACACAACAACAACAGCACACATTTAGCAAAAACAAAACAAAACACAAACACAAACAAACAAACAAAAACACACACACACATTTAGCCTGATCAGTGTGGCTAAGTGGTTGAGTGTTGATTCATAAACCAGGTCACAGTTCGATTCCCAGTCAGAGCACAGGCCTGAGTTGCAGTCCTGATTCCCAGTAGCAGGTGTGCAGGAGGCAGTCCATCAGTGATTCTCTCTCATCATTGATGTTTCTATCTCTCTCTCCCTCTCCCTTCCTCTTTTTGAAATAAATAAAAACATTTATTATTGTTGTTAATCCTCACCCCAGGACATTTTTCCATTGATTTTTAGGGAGAGTGGAAGAGAGAGGGAAAGACAGAGAGTGACATCGATGTGAGAGAAACACATTGATTGGTTGCCTCCTGCATGTGCCACAACCAGGACCTGGGTAGGAGGCTGCAACCAAGGTACATACCCTTGACTGGAATGGAACCTGGGACCTTTTGGTTTGCAGGCTCTATCCGCTGAGCCAAACTGGCTAGTGCAATAAAAAAAACTTAGAGCTATAAAGCCAATGGATACAATTGATCATGTGAGTAAAAACATAAGCCTAGTGAATGTATTTCCTAACAGCAATTCCTTGCTTAAAAACATTCATATAATTTTGGTGAGACAGGACCTGCAGCCCAGCGACTTGTGATTCAGACTCACCTGCCCACTCGCCAGGCAGGCATGTGCTCATGGGCTCATTTCTTCACCCCCATCAGGTGGAAGCACCAGAATTTTGGATACTCTGGTTATTTCCTGCTCATGTCCACATTGTGAAAACCACCTAATGTTTCTTAGGTAGGGAAGAAAATAAATACTGGGTGGAGCAAAAGTAGGTTTATAGTTATTCGTATGGGAAATGATGCAATAGTTAATACATAATAATACAAGAATAAAATCTGTGTTTCATGTACTCACAACTGTAAACCTGCTTTCCCTCCACCCTGTATACATTCAGGAAATCCAGGGCAACAGAGTCCCAATGTGTTCCTGAACCCAAGACTTCATGATTATATCATTATTTGCCTGCAATAGTCTCTCCACAGTATCCCTCCTTGTGACAACTGATCTTCTTCCTTTCCTTTTTTTCCTGTTCAGGAAGTTTTAAATGATACAATTTCCTACCCAGATGGTACATTCATGGATTGGGAGTTTAAGATCTCTGTCTTGTATGACATTGCTAAGGTAAGAGACCTATAAACACAAAAGACATCTAGAAAATTAAATACAGGAAAACAGATCAAGCAAGCTATTCAACTTATCTGCATCGGTTTCTTCATCTGTAAGATGGTAATAAAAATATTTAGTACTAATAGTCATGGAGTTGTTCTGAGTATTTTATGAAATAATGCATATACTTCGCATAAGGCCTGGTACAAGTATATGTTCCATATATACTAGGTCTTCTTCTTAGGATTATTATATGCTTTCTACTCTGGGTTTGAGGCACACATTTTCATAGACTGGCTGGAAGTTAAGATAATATAAAGCTGTAGAGAGAATAACTGAATCTTCAACTTTATAAGAAAAAATATTAAACACAGGCAACCATCTTGTATGAGGCAGTAATAAATCTGGACATGTACATTCCCAAACACTGGAGTACTAGTGACCAGGGCCTTGTTCAAGAATGAAGAAAAGTCAATCCCAAGAGTGAGCCATTTGATAGTCTTAAATCTCCCTCCACATAGCATCAGAATACGTTTGCAAAATGCTATATGATACCCCATTTGCCACATATCACTCCTGTGATCCAGGCTGAAAACCAGTGTCTGCAATGACACCTCTAGCCAGCAGAGGGAAGCACACCAGTGAAAAATAGGCTTCTTTCACAATAGAATGAAATCCATTAAATTTTAGAAACTAATCTAGCCTAGCTCCTCCCTTCAGAATAGCAAAGCCTTATTATGCATATTTTTTTAATTGAAGTAGTAGAGGACCAGACATACCCAAGGTCACAGACCAAGTAAGTGGTAAGTGAACACACTTCAAGAAAATAGGATCAACCTTTCATTTTTAAAAATATATATTTTATTGATTTTTTACAGAGAGGAAGGAAGAGAGATAGAGAGCTAGAAACATCGATGAGAGAGAAACATCGACTAGCTGCCTCTTGTACAACCCCTAACGGGGATGTGCCCGCAACCAACGTACATGCCCCTGACCAGAATCGAACCTGGTACCGTTCAGTCCGCAGACCGACGCTCTACCACTGAGCCAAACCGGTTTCGGCCAACCTTTCATTTTATATTATCTACTAGGGGCTCAATGCACGAATTCGTGCACCTTGAAAGAACTATGGGCCACACGGCTGCTGTGGGCACAGGGGCAGGTCTCAGCCCTTCCTCTGTGCCCCCACCTGGCCCTTCCTACCACAGCCCCTGGTCCCTAGTCAGCCAGCAACCCTGCTCCCGCCTCTTTCATGCGCTGACAGTGCTGGCCCGCTTGCACCTGCTAACAGTGCGGAGTGATTGGGGCTGGCTCCAGCAGAGGGTGCGAATGGCAGCTGCTGCCCTGATTGCCCCTCAGGAGCAGGGGGAAGTGGAGAAGCCCTCATGGGCGATAGGGGCCAACAGCCACTGCTTGCACCCCCTGAAGGCGCCCAGCAATCAGGGCTGGTGCTGGGCACCAGCAGCAGGTGCAAGCAGGGCCAGCACTGGCAGCAGGTGTGAGTGCCCAGCAGGACCACCATGCATGGGAGCAAAGAATTCCCAGTAATCACCAGAGGCTTGCCCTAATGACAGCAACCAGTGCCCTACCTTGGTCTGGCACCCCTGGTTACCTGCTCAGCCATCCTGCCATGGCCAATGCCTGCCGTGTTCCATGAACTGTCACCTGCTGCCAACACCCACCATGTTCCGTGCGTACCCCCTGGTGAACAGGGCACATCATAGCAACTAGTTGTTTGGTTGTTCTTCTGTTCGGTCTCTTTGCATATTAGGGTTTTGGGTTTTTTTTTGGGGGGGGGGGTTGTTGTTTTTTTTAATATATTTTATTGATTGTGTACAGAGAGGAAGGGAGAGAGATAGAGAGTTAGAAACATCGATGAGAGAGAGTCATTGATCAGTTGCCTCTTGCACACCCCCTACTGGGGATATGCCCGCAACCAAGGTACATGCCCTTGACCGGAATCGAACCCGGGTCCCTTCAGTCCCCAAGCCAACGCCCTATCCATTGAGCTAAACCGGTCCCGGCCATATTAGGGTTTTATATATAGATAATTACTTAATCCAAGTCTTTAGACAACTGCTATGTTGTCTACTATGTCACCTAAATAGATTTAAAACTAGATGTAGAGCTTAGGCAACCATTAGGGCCTTAATATATTTAAAGTAAAATTAGTAGAACTAAGTTTAAAATTTATTAGTGTGTTTCTATCAGCATGCTGAAATGAGTTCAAAATGTCACTTCTTTCTTTAAAATAAGCAAATGCTGAATGTCTCATCTCTTTGTTTTCTTGTCATCTGAAAAATTGCAGGGGATGTCATATCTGCACTCCAATAAAACAGAAGTCCACGGGCGTCTGAAATCCACCAACTGCGTGGTAGATAGTAGGATGGTGGTGAAGATCACTGATTTTGGCTGCAATTCCATTTTACCTCCAAGAAAAGGTCTGTAATGAAATATTAACCGGTTTCCCACTGGTCTTTCTCTTTTCTTAAAGCCCACATAATTCTCTTAAGAAACAGTGATTCTGATCAGAAATTAATACTTGGAGACACAAGAGGCGACAGCGGGCTCAATCTCCATTTCACCCTTGTTCATTTTCAACAAGTGCTTCTTGGATTTAATAAACCTCCTTTGTGCATTTCCTTCCTCCATGTCCTTTGATATTAGTGAGAAATCATGAAGAAGTTATTAGCTTGCAGAAGCAGAACTGGGTGAAAAAAATAGAGACCTTAGAAATCTTCTGGTCTAAACTTCTCTCTTTATAAAGCAAACAAACCCAACAAGAATAAAGGTTTAGAAAGGTGAAGAGATTTGCCCAAGTAGATAGAGTATAAGGCAGACAACCCATTTCCAAATTCTAGACATCATTTTATCTATCTCTGATAATGATAAGGAAAATAACTCTTATCAGTAAAATATATTCTTATCTCTTTTAAGATTGTGATAGGGGTAAAAAAAAGGAACAGAGAAAAATGATTTGTAAAATATAGAGTTTTTATGTTGAACATTTACCCATTCTTTACTATAAATCAGGATTATGGACTCAAAAATCTAACACTCACATATGATTCAAAATACCATCTAGGTCCAAACAGTAAATTCTACTTCTAATTCTATTTTGCAATCCTTTAGTTTTTCCTAAACAGAAGAAAATTGCGTTCTTCCCCTAATTTCTTTAGTCACATCAAGCATGCTAGACACTGGATTCAACCCAGTAAGTGCTTGTTGGAGACCTACTGTGTGCCAAGCACGATTCATCATGTATCAATAGTAGAACAAATCTCCCTCATTAGATGACCCACCATAACCGAAAATCACAGGTTAAATCCCATCCTCATGAACATCACTCAGTTACACCGACCTCTCTGTGTTGTCAGTCACCTGGATTTTAGCATAAGTAGTTGTACCTACCTTTCCCGTAACCCCAAACCACATGAATCACAAGACACATAAAGTCACAAGACATCAACTCAAAAAGGCAATGAACATTTGGATGGAAAACCACATGAGGAGAATAAGCCTAACACTGTAGCCAACAACATAAATCTATAGATTTTTTTTCCATCAAAACTGCCAAACATACAAACCTCAAAAAACTCACAAGGAGCTAGGTGATTCTGGAAAAACTTCAAGGGATGTTGGAGAACAATTGTAGGCCCTGTTATTACTAAATAAGATAAGTGATGAGAGTCCAAAGCCCAAGTATCTATAGGAGCCAAACACAGAACACTGGAGCACTTCACTGTGAAGCGGACTAGATGGGAAGCATTAGGGAGTAGCAGGCCCAGTAGTAACATGGGAATGAATGGTATGCATTATGTGTTAAAGAACACTGTGGGAATCCAAGAAAACACATCGCTGGGCAATAGCTGATTTGGGGGCTGTCAGTGTGTCACATCTGGAAAATATCAGTCATAGTCTCTTTGAATGCGCTGTCTTTATTTTTAAACATTTACAAAGGCTTCCGTAGGTTTATGCCTTATGTCCCATAAGCTGGTAAACCCTCTTAGCCTCTCACATTCTAGTGTGTTCATCCCACAAACCTTTGCAAGCACTTCCTGTACACCAGGTGCTATTCTAGGTAGACCTTGAGGGTGTTCGGGGCTATGATCCTAGCAGTGTTAGAAAAGACATTGCCGTATGACCTCACCCAAATCCTGGCATTACAGAGTCATACTAAAAGGTGTGTGTTCTACCCTTAACACCATTATTAGCATAGTCTTCTCAAAAGTCTGGGACCCTATAAACTCGAGGCCACTCATATTCAGGGTGCCTGCTGTAGGGACTTAAAGAACAGAAGCAGGTTGGCGACTATGGGCTGCTCACCCCCTTAACTTTGCAATCTCCATGCTGAATGCCCAGACCTGTGGACAGCCCCGGAGCACCTCCGCCAAGCCAGCATCTCTCAGAAAGGGGACGTGTACAGCTACGGGATCATCGCACAGGAGATCATCATGCGGAGGGAGACCTTCTACACGCAGAGCTGCCGCGACCAGAATGGTAAGAGCCTGACCCTTTCATCTGCCCCCGCTGGGACTGGCTAACCTGCATTCTAGGGTGACAGGGACGCTAATCTGTGTGACCACATCTCGCCCTCAGCTGAAAAAGCAGTAACATGTCTTCACTGTCCACTTTGGAAGGTTTAGATGGATGAATGTCAGAGTGCTCTGAAGTGCATGAGACAATACCTCGCTGCCAAGTGTCACTACCACCAGTATCATTGTTAGTTAAAGAATCTTCCCTTGCCTGCAGGTGTGGCTCTGGTTAAGGTCATGTTTCAATTCCCGGTCAGAGCACAGTTTGGCTCAGTGGCTAGAGCACTGGCCTGCAAACTGAAAGGTCCCAGGTTCCATTCGGGTCAAGCTCACATGCCCAGATTGCAGTCTCGATCCCCAGTAGGGGGCGTGCAGGAGGCAGCCGATCAATGATTCTCTCTCATCATTGACGTTTCTATCTCTCGCTCTCACTTCCTCTCCGAAATCAATAAAAATGTATTTAAAAATAAAGAATCGCCCCTTATAATTTCCCTCTTTCCTTCTGATTCCAAACAGCCAGGTGTCTAACACCTAGATCACTGAAGTGGGACATACATATTTTAGTTACTACTAAGATCTGTACTTTTGTCACATGTCCCCTTGGAGCCTGGAAGGGGGTGGGGGTGAGGGCAATGGTTCAATATTTCATTCCATTCACTCAATCCTCCCTTACGGAGCACTTACTTGTGCCAACTTTGAACTGTCTGGGGGAGGGGTGACTGGGGATATAGGGATTGCAGGCTAGATATTGGTCAGAGGAAGCCCACTGAAGGCAGCGGTGTCTGAGTTGAGTTTCATAGGGTTAGTGGCCTTAAGTTGAGGGCTAGCCTCCTGGGTATAGGAGGTATGAGACCCCTTATCCTGGCGGCTCATTCTGCATCCCTCTGCCGACTGCTGACCCCGGTGCTGCCGCACTCTTACTGGCCCCATCGGAGTCGGGGAGCCAGTTTGGAATCTGATCGCTGCTCCATGCTGCATTCTCTCTTGTAATTGAATTATTCTCGTCCCATCAGAGAAAATTTTCAGAGTGGAGAGTTCCAATGGAGTGAAGCCCTTCCGCCCAGATCTGTTCCTGGAAACAGCCGAGGAGAAGGAGCTGGAGGTGAGTTTCTCAGCCTGCCACCCTACCTTATCTGTTTCCACTTCTCTGAACTCAGGAAAGAGCTGGTCTCTTAAGCACACGTCTCATTCTCAGTTCCTAGGAGCTAACAAAGCAAGATGCCCATGTGGTATACTGGCCAGGCTTCTAACTACCACCTAGTGATTGAAAAATAAGTACACCAACATCTGGAAACAATGGGGAAGTGTGCTTTCTCTCCTTTTATTCTTCATCTGAAGGAAACTGAGCTTTTCTTCCTGCATTTGTTTAAATTTTTAAATAATCCTTCACAAAGGCATTAAAGCCTGTGGGAAAAGATTCTAAATTTATTTCATAATTTGCCGAAACCGGTTTGGTTCAGTGGATAGAGCATCGGCTTGGGGACTGAAAGGTCCCGGGTTCGATTCCGGTCAAGGGCATGTACATTGGTGGCGGGCATAATATCCCCAGTAGGGGGTGTGCAAGAGGCAGCTGATCGATGACTCTCTCTCATCGATGTTTCTAGCTCTCTATCTCTCTCCCTTCCTCTCTGTACAAAATCAATAAAATATTTAAAAAGATAAAAAAAAATTTATTTCATAATTTTATCTGAGCTTTTATAATCCCCAAAGATAGTAAACAATGTGTTTTAAAAGTTTTTAGGATCTTAAAAATAAAACCTTTTGTTTGTACCTTGTGGATAAAGATTAAATAAGCAAAACAAACCATTTTCCTTTGAGTTATAAACATCTTCAGGTGAGGTTTATGGCCAGCGTAGCTGGATGTGAATGCGCTATTTTTACCTCTTCTTTTCTCTATCTCAATATTAAAGACAGGCTGCAGACCCAAGGCTCTAAAATAGAACTGCTCCTATCCTGCCTGGTCTTATTCTATCCCTCCACCCTGATTTTCAGGATGCTGGGATTCCTCCCCACATGTCAGCAAATCCCTCTCCTCTCTAGTCTGAGGATAGCCACATGTTGCTTAAAACTTCTTTCACTAAAGCATTTTTCCGCCTCCATTCACTCGTGTAGTCAGATGGTTCTGGAATTGGAAGCAAGAAAAGATTTCATATCTAGTAGCTGGTTCCAGTCGAATATAGGTGACTTGGCAGTGCCCCCTGATTCACTCGGCGGTGCTGGGTCAGCCCGGCTGTGGGTTGGATTTGTCCATGTCTCTTTAAGGTCATCAGTAGATCATGTACCAAGGCAAAGGCATCATCTAGTGGTGAATGCAGGTAGGCATAGCTAGTCCTTCCCAGGGATGCCTGAGGCAAAGAACATGGGCAGGGACTGCACCTAATACCGTTTGTGATCTTATTTCTAACTAAAGTAAAGAACAAACTAATGGTTTTCACCAGGCTTTTCTGACCCAACAAAAGCTGCAAACCAGGGATAGTGAGATGCTGTTTCCCTGGGCTTCCTCATGTCTCCCCTTCCCCTGAACCTCCCCTTCCTCCCTTCTCTTTTATATATGCCATAATAATATACAGTCTATGTATCATAATAATTCTATTATAATTATGTTTTATGCAATTATTCAATGATAATATAATTATAGTATAACCTTATAATATAATTATGATTATATATAATTACATTATTTAATACCATAATAAATATTTTATATTAATATGTAATGATAATAATTATATACATTATTGTCCTTTGCCCATGCAATATTTGGGACATATTTATGCTAAAGAAATTATTCATTGTTTATCTGAAATTTGAGTTTAGCTGGGCATTCTATATTTTTGTTTGCTAAATCCGAGAGCCCTAAGATTCCTTCATAAAGCAATTAAGTCAGAATCTTCTAGGTTGGGGCCCCGGCAAAAGAAATTCTGTAAACTCTCCCAGGCAATTCCCCTGTTAGCCGTGGTTAAAAATGCTGCTGAAGTGCCTCGCTCTCATTTACAGTCACTGTCTCATACTCACTGAACCCAACTATTTCTTGTTCTTCCCAACATACATCCTGCAAGTGTATGTAAAGATTTTGTCTCTCCCATTAATCTAGCCCTGCCCAAATTACTATTACCTTTTTCATTAATTCAGCGTCTAGGAAGGGTTTAGGCAAGGCGGTACAGGTGGTGATGCCTGAGATAACTGCAGACAACTGGGCGACCTCATCCGCATTGTCAGAGTTGAGATCTTTTCTTTTTCTTCTTTTTTTTCCTTAATATATTTTATTGATTTTTTACGGAGAGGAAGGGAGAGAGATAGAGAGCTAGAAACATCGATGAGAGAGAAACATCGACCAGCTGCCTCTTGCACACCCCCTACTGGGGATGTGCCCGCAACCAACGTACATGCCCCTGACCAGAATAGAACCTGGGACCTTTCAGTCCGCAGACCAATGCTCTATTACTGAGCCAAACCGGTTTTGGCAGAGTTGAGATCTTTTTAAAATAGTCCCTGCCTCAATGACTCCCATTCTGGAAGGAAATAGGATAGGATACCACCCCCTGAGCTAATCCATCCTTTTTTCCTTCCAGGTATATCTGCTTGTAAAAAACTGCTGGGAGGAAGATCCAGAAAAGAGACCAGATTTCAAGAAAATTGAGAGTACACTGGCCAAGATATTTGGGTATTGCTGACATTTTTGCTTTTTTTCTCACCGATTTCGGATTATTCTAACAATAGTTGACATTCAGTAGCACCTAAGAATGAGAGTACCTATTCTAATGAAAAACCCCAAGCTGAAGCACTTACCTCAGAAAAATTAAAATGATATGGAGACTAACAGGGAAATAATCACTTGACAAGTTAAATACTCAAGGGCCAAACTTGCCTGATTAAAAACTATATTCTGACTAATCATAGTATGTCTGTTAAAAATATAGTTCCCTGACCCTTCTGCAGGTAATTAGAATTTAGAAGTCCTGGAAATCGGTAAAGTTCCTGGATAATTCTTAAGATCACCAAGTGTCTTAAATTTTTCAAATCTTAAAAAAAAAAAAATTAATCTTAGGATCAGAAACTTTGGCACTATGTCCTTAAGACTTGAGCCATGAGTCAGACTATAATTCAGGATTTTTTTTTAAAAAGTAACACACAATTATCCAATAAGACTGAATTCTAGATTTCTCATGTTTTCTGTTAGAGACAGCGCAGAGTGAGAAAAATAACATTGGCACGAGAGAGGGGATCCAGTTTCTACACTAGAATCTAATAATTGCTGCTGAGGGACATTGGGCAAAACACTTATCCTAATTGGGTGTCAATTTTCTTGTTAGTAAAATTGGACTGACTGAACAAGATCATTTGTACAATTCCTTCTAACTCTAACTTTCTGTAAGTCTCATTAAGTCATTCAGATACTTAACGAGGCTAAAAGCCCAAGGCTGGAGAAGAAGTGGAGTGAAGTTAATCAAAGTGAGGTCATTGATTTGGTAGATCTAAGCTGTCATTGGGGGAAAGGAGCAGGAAGTAATAAGCCATTTAATTCTTGCCCACTTTTCATTGCTTTACAAACCTGTTACCAATAAAGAAATTTTAAAAAAAGAAATAGAAAAAAATAATAAGAAACATCGATGAGAGAGAATCATCGATTAGCTGCCTCTTGCACAACCCTACTGGGGATGTGCCCGCAACCAAGGTACAAGCCCTTAACTAGAATCGAACCTGGGACCTTTTGGTACACAAGTTAACCTTTAGCATGTTCATGATTGTTTCCTTACAATAATTCTTAGAAGCGGAATTGATGGGCTGATTGGTATGTGTATTCTTAAAGTTATGACACATTTTTATCAGATATCCCTCCAGGAAGGTTGTATGCATATATGTCTTTCTTCTTACCGACATTGATTATCATTGTTACAACATTTGGTAATACTTGTCAAGTGATTATTTCCCTGTTAGTCTTTCTTTCTTTTTTATTAATCTTATTTCTTTCATTTTTCCTATTAAATGTTTTTGTTAGGTGTCAGCCATTTTTAATTTTTTCTTTGTTTAATTACCTGTTCATCATATTTGCCTGTAGTTATAATAGATGTTCATGTTTTCTTAACAATGTGTAAGAGCTCTTTATATATTACTACCCACAGCCTTTTTCATGACCAGAAAAGTGAAAGTTATATGGACACCTTGATCCGACGTCTGCAGCTATACTCCCGAAATCTGGAACATCTGGTGGAGGAAAGGACACAGCTGTACAAGGCAGAGAGGGACAGAGCTGACAGGCTAAATTTTATGTTGCTCCCAAGGTAAGACAGTGGTCCTGCTGATGTGGTTTCCCACAACAGCACAGCTATACCTCTTAAAGCTAAAAGCTTCAGCATATTTGTCTAGCATTGTTTTTCTTGATCTATTTAGGATTGTTCCATTTTGCATATTCTTTTTTTGTTTTGTTTCATATACATATTACAGATACCTCTCTTCCCCCTATCTTTGCCCCCCTCCACCCAGCCCCTGCCCCACCCCAGGCCTTTCCCACACTATTGTCTGTGTCCTTGGGCTGTGCTTATATGCATGTTCTTTGGTTAATCTCTTCCTCTCCCCCTTCCCCCTTCCCCACTGAGATCTGTCATTCTGTTCCATGCATCTTGCCTCTGGACCTATTTCATTCATCAGTTTCTTTTGTTCATTAGATTCCACATATAAGTGAGATCATGTGATACCGTGTTTCCCCGAAAATAAGACATCCTCTGAAAATAAGACCTAGTGCATGGAAAGATAAGACATCCCCTGAAAATAAGATCTAGCGCAACTTTGGGAGAAAAAATTAATATAAGACACTGTCTTATTTTTGGGGAAACAGGGTAGTTGTTTTTCCCTAACTGGCTCATTTTGCTTAACATAATCTTCAAGTTCATCCATGCTGTTACAAAGGTTAAGAGATCCTTCCTTTTACAGCTGTTTAGTATTCCTTTGTGTAACTCTACAACAGCTTTTTTTTTATCCACTCATTTACTGATGGGCACTTTCCAGATCTTATCTATTGTAAATAACACTGCTCTGAACATAGGGGTGCATATTCTTTAAAAGATTGAGTTTTAAAATGCATGGATCTCGCTAACCCTTGTTCTGATTTGCATTTCAAATACATTTAAAAAAATAAAATAAAAAAAGAGGTTATTCTCAATGACCTCTATGGTACCTCCCAGCTTCCAGGTTCTGGTTCTGGTGGTTCCATACTCAGATCCTTTATAGAGTGATCCCAAGGGCAGACAGGGAGCATGCGGCTCATGATAGGTTGGGGGAAATAAAAAGCCAACTTGGCACAAGAAGGAATATGGAATCCCTTCTTGTGGTTCTTCTCTCTTAATTCTGAGTCTGATATGCTGCTCTTTATAGCTCTTCAACAAAGATATTCTAAGTTGCTTCTATTTGACTTCTTCCGTTTTAGCATAATTTTAACTTGTTTACATGGTGATTGGCTTTGCTTTTTAAAGAACCCAAATCTGGTTCAGAATATATCAAATAAATTCTGGTTCCTACTACAAACAATGTCATGTTAAACATGTCAGGGAGGTAAAATTATGGACTCGGATGATGAGAAAGATCTCATAGCTATAGTCACTCAAGCCCTTACTTTAATGACACTCTCTCCCTCTCAGCTTCTGGATATAGAGTTATGTATAGATGAAACTATGAGAGATAAAAAATGAGCAAGTATATAATGTAGTAGCATGTGTATATGTGTATTAGGTTCAACAGTCAAGTACTAAGTCAGTGGTCGGCAAATTCATTAGTCAGCAGAGTCAGGTATCAACAGTACAACGACTGAAATTTCTTTTGAGAGCCAAATTTTTAAACTTAAACTATATAGGTAGGTACACTGTTATTAACTTAATTAGGGTACTCCTAAGCTGGCCTTTGCTAAAAACTCAATGGGCCAAAGAGCCACATGTGGTTCACGAGCCGCAGTTTGCCGACCACTGTACTAAGTTAATGCTAAACCTGCTTACTAGCATAGTCATCTGAGTTCAAATGCACGTATTATATGTGTATGTATGTATGTATGTAATATGGTCATACATGTGGTATATGCGACTTACCTTTGCTTTCTAGCCACCCAGTTTACTGGAAACCCCAAATTCTAGAATTCCTGGTCAACAATTACTACTGTCTCAAAGGTTTATGTAAGAGAAGAAAAAAATTTACTAAAGTTGATGGCAATTTTTTCCCTTTCATCTAGGCTAGTGGTCAAGTCCCTGAAGGAGAAAGGCATTGTGGAGCCTGAACTATATGAGGAAGTTACCATCTACTTCAGTGACATTGTAGGTTTCACCACTATCTGCAAATACAGCACCCCCATGGAAGTGGTAGACATGCTGAATGACATCTATAAGAGCTTTGACCACATTCTCGATCACCATGACGTGTACAAGGTAACCACCTCACCTGACAGGCTGAAATGATCTTGAGGCCCAGGTCGGCAGAGCCAGATTGGTTGTTCCTGTTACTTTTCAGGTCTTGTCCTTCCTAATTTATGATTTAATGCATTGGAGGTTGAATTGGATCTCAAAGTGAAGGGAAGTAAAAGAATAAGAAGGGACAGAAGTTAGGGGGGAAAGGAGGCATGTAATACTTTAAACAATAAAGAAGAAGAAGAAAAAAAGAATAAGGCTCAGAAGTCAAAACGACCAAATAACTTTAAGTAGTTTGAAAAAACAATAACATAAACTTCAGCAGGAATGAATTTGGGGTACTAAATTTAGAGACAACAGCATCCTCTCTAATCATCTTCAAAAAATGGATAGTGTTCAGGCAGATTGCAAGATCCTGGAGTTACAATAAGTAGAATAGGAATATCTTGTTGTTGTTGAAATAGCAGCATCATTCAGGAAAGACCACAGAAGAAGAGAGAGAAGTTTCTGCAAGTTCACAGCTGGATCTGTTGCCTGGCTGGCCTGCTGACCAGTCCTAGGCTATTAAGTCTGAGTCAGAAGAGTAAAGGGAAATTGAATTCCCACATTCTTGTGTTAGAAAAGCAGCATACCATATGGAATGAGTAGCTTTAGAAATAGATCTCTTTATTCAAATCCCCATTTGCCCCTTACTAACCATGTGATCTCTTAAAATATATTTAACTTCATCAGGTCTCAGTTTGCCTATCTGTAAAATGGGATGATAATAATACCTACCTCAATGGGTTATTGTAAGGACTATTTAGATAAACAAAGCTTAGAATTCATTCCTATAACACTCTGTCATACTGGTTATTGCTCACAAAAAGGACTTCCCTTCTAGGCTTTGTCTTAGCCCAATCCTCAAAAAGTCATATTAACAATAGCCCTTGTCAGACAGAAAATAATTATGCATTTTAGAGATATATGACAAAAAGAAGTTAACTAACCAATAAACGTGAACTATGCATATGATTGTGGAAATAAAATTAAAAGGGAGGAGAGGCCATTTATCAAAGAATAATGTTTATACAGTACTGTTAATATAAATCTAGTACTTATAAGAAAAGTGTGTGGAGAATGTATGTATTTTATCTTGGAGGAAACAATTTTTTTTTTTTCCAAATAGTATGTGAAAATTGGTAAGTGCTAAAAATGACTTTTCTGGTAAATAAAGGTCTTTCTAAAATAACATATAGCTACTCAGATTATTTAAACATTCCTAGAATTATCAACACATCTGGGTGATTTATATTATTGTGAAGTACTTACATATAATCATCTATAGCTATTTTATCATCCATTTTACTAGACTATCGGAACCCTAAAGAAATGAGCATAGAAACTGGCCTTAAACTGGTCCCAGAAAAAAGTGTAAGGGTTCATGCTGAGTTTTCTCTTGCAGTTGATATGTGATTAACTGCTTCTGTTTCATTTCTTATGCCTTTCAAAAGGGCAGCTTCACTGATCAGAAACTGTTTTCACAGGTGGAAACCATTGGTGATGCCTACATGGTAGCTAGTGGCTTGCCTAAGAGAAATGGCAATCGGCACGCAGTAGACATTGCCAAGATGGCCTTGGATATTCTGAGCTTCATGGGGACCTTTGAGCTTGAGCATCTTCCTGGCCTCCCGATATGGATTCGCATTGGAATTCACTCTGGTATGGGGTTGGGGTTGAGCATGGTAGCAAATGGGAACCATATGTATCTCTGTGCACCCACTAAATCAGAAAGTGTAGAATCTTCAAATGTGATCAGTGTTCATGTGAGGTTTACTCTTGGATCTGTCTGCCAAAAATGAGGTCCATTACACATCCGGGCATAATTAGACCCATCCCTAGGGAGCTCTAGGAAACACCTTTGATTCCTGGAATGATAAACACCAACCATGTCCTAAGATAACAAGCTCCAGGTTTCCTGGTTAAGTCACTATATTTAGTGTTTCATTGATCTCCTTCCCATTCCCTCCCTCTCCCATACCCCCAACTTCAATATTATGGTATCTTAAATGGATTACATTATCTATGGGATAATAGGGGATGGATGGTCAAATTCTTATAACAGGGCATTTATGCTCCCCATCCCCTCTCATTGGTACAGAAAGCACATGAGCCACTTCGAAAACCATGAAAGTTACTCATCCTTGAAGGTAGAGATTTGAAAAGATGAGTTACAATTGTTCTAGAAAAACATAGTTGGAAAGGAACTCGGGAATTATCTAGATCAATCCTTAGAGGACATAGATTATCTTTACAGTCCCAAAATAAGTAATAACATGGCCACTTTTAGAACAATTCCAGGATTTCCTGAAAACTCACTGTTCCCAAAGCCACCTCACTCCATAATTAATATTTGTAATCATAAGACAGTCTTTCCTTGTGTTACATTAACTCACGTCTCCCTATAATTTCTTGTCATTGCTCCTCTTTCTGCCTTCAAGCCTTGCAGAAGAGACACAGTATAGAAAACCTGAGAGATAGCTCCAGGCTTTGTGGCCAGAACCAGACAGCTGCATTTATAAAAGTCATTCTGTATCCACAGCACCTGTCTCAAAGCCTGTAGTAAATATTGATTAAGAAATCAGTGAGATTCTCAAAGTGACCGTCAATAGACGTTAAAAACTGCTGCTGCATTGTTCACTGCCAGGAACACAGCTGTGGCCTTTCCCGATCGTGTCCATAGCCAAATGTCTTAGATGTTTCCCTATACACCAGAGGGAACTTCCTGGATCTCTTCAGCTAGCAACAGCATTCTGTCTGCTTGAGCCATTGCAAATCTCCAGAGGAAAGAAGAGCAACAGGTCTGACCGAACCAAGTCAGAGAAACTGGAGCTCTGGGTCCTGGCCCCTTCTCTCTCCTTGGGACCCCCCTCAAGGCCTGAGCTGACTAGCAGGGCCCAGCACTACCTAATTGGGCTGAAATAAGGATAGCTAATAGGCACACATACCTACTATCTAGGTACTATTGTAAGGCCTGAAAGACCCCCGGTCCAAAGGATGAGCGGCGACCCCAAATCAAACGCAGAGCCCGAGTCTTGATGCAAAGAGCAGGAGGTTTATTCCAAGCGCTGCGCAGGGACCCACAAGCAGCAGTCCAGAAAAAGACTGCCGCTTGAGAGCCCTGAACAGAGGTTAGTTACAAGCTTTTATAGGCAGAAACCACACGCAGGTGGCCTGGGGAAATTGGCCTGGGGAAATTGGCAAATTGGCCTGGGGAAATGCAAACATAAGGTTGAGATTGCAATTTCTTGGCCGTTTCCTGGGCAGTTAGAAACAGGCCTGACCTTACACTATCCTAGGGTTTAACCCTAAGAAATGAAAGGGTTGAAGTTAAACAGTGATAGTTGAAAACAAGACTAACTAATATCTGCAAGGATTTTTCCACGCCCAGGCCCCCCTCAGTGTTATCGCTCTGTTTCTAAAGAGCCACTTGTGCCTAGATCTAAGGCCCCCATCAGAAATCCCATCTAGCAGTTGTCTCCACTGTGCCTCTTCTGCTGGAGTTAGTCTTTTGTCTGCCTTTCCTGCCTCTGTTAGTCTTTTGTCTGTTTGCTTTTTCTGTTTGCTTACTTTTTATTTATTTTGTACCCAACCTAACAGGGAAAAGCTCAGCACTCAGGGCAAGCCCAGTTTTTTGTTTTGTTTTGTTTTGTTTTTTCAATGTTCATAAACAGAGTGTTTATAGGATAAATCTATAAAGAAACTCAACTTATGAAGATCAAAACACAACTCGAAATCAGCCAGACTAGAAGACCAGTAGTTACTTCTATCCAACACCTGCTTTTGCCGTTTCTGAGTTAATCTTTAACATCTAAAATCTTTCACCCCTTGCATTCAGTCGTTTCACACAAACACTTGTTTAAACCCTCCCTCCCCACCAGGTATACACAGTGCACTGTCTTCCTTGGCTTCCTTGTCTTTGTTCTTGTGCTCCCTCATCCCACTGCATTCACATGGCATGTGAAATGCTCAGGGAAAATTCTGCTAGATCCTTGTCTTCTGGGTCTCCCATCATCATGCCATTAATCCCAGAAATGTTACTCCACTAAATCAAAATAAAATAAGACAAACGTGGACCACTGAGCCTTCAAGTGTACTGGGACCTCCTGCAGTGCAGAGCTCAGGGCTGTGTGGCTCAGTGCAGTGAGCAAGCAATGGGATAGTCTTCATCCTACAGCTTTTGCTGAAAATATTTGGATTGACTTCCCACCTTTCAGCCTGGGCCTGATGCCTTCTTGCTTTGTGCAAATGCACTTTTCTATGCTAGAGCAAAATACTTTCTGAAAGCATGCATTGATTGACTACTGATGTTTCCCTCGTGGAATACATTCTTCATTCGAGCTCATTATTCATGCCCGCAGACATATCTCTATCAAATGGCATATTCAGCATTGTGGCACCTTCATTCCTCTCTGTACTTTCCGTCCCTCCACTTCCTGCTTTCTGCCCTTTCCAGGTCCCTGTGCGGCTGGCGTCGTGGGGATCAAGATGCCTCGTTATTGCCTATTTGGAGATACCGTCAACACAGCCTCCAGGATGGAATCCACTGGCCTCCGTAAGAAGGGAGATTGTGTTTCTTCAAGGACAAAGATTCTGTGTTTCAGCAGGAGGGAATTGTAGGATAACAGGCATAAGACTTGCCAGTGAGATGATGAATGACCCTTCTTCACATTTAGTGAACACAAAACTATGCCAATCCAGGCCTTGCTACATTTGCTTTTGTTGTGACTATTTACTGAACATTATCCTTTTTTTGGCTCAGTTTTAGGTCGCTTCTCTTAGTTTGGGTTCATTAGCAATGCAGTCAGGCATGCTCTACCTGGAGTAGTCATTAACTTTAGCAGAGATCCATGTAAGTTAAAAAAAAAAATGTCAGTAGGCTAGGCATGGAGTATACAACTTGCTTCATTTTCCTGTTTCTCTTTTATTTGGTTTTCCTGGGAACTGGTTTTAGTAAAGAAAAATGTAACTATTTGTTATCTGTTAAAACCTATATTGTATTTGCCTGGCAAGGTAGAGGCACTCTGTGTTGCATGTAGTAGATGCTAAATATTGATGACAGTGATAGTAACATAAATATACACAAGAGTGAATGAAAGCATTGGTAGATGTGGGCAGACATTGCAAAAATACAGGTGTTAGAACAGTATTTTGGCAATTTACTGACAACCTGATACTGGTTTATACTGGAAAATCATGATGTAAAGGAAAGAATGAGTTTGGGGTTAAACAGACTTGCATTAAAATTATAACTATGCAAATCACTGTCTGGGTTAAGGTAGTAGGGAATTACCTCATTTTTCTAGGCATCAAAAATTTGAGGATAGGATACCAACCTTGCTGGAAGGATTGGAGAGGATATGTATTAGTTAAGCAATTAACAATCCTCTGATAGATGGTAGGCATATAATATGGGGGTGCTATTATTCTTACTATGTTATTGTCTGTGGCACCCATAAAGGGAAAGGTGATATACAGCAATGGACTTATGAATGGAAGTATATCCTCCCCACTTAGTTGTCAGGAAGATAACAATATCCCAGAAGAGTAACATTTGAGAAAAATCAAGACCCTATAACTGTCTCCTGAATTTTCACCTTGTTACCAATACTTTGGCTACTTTTTGGAACGTTTACATGGGGGCCCACATGCCAGCTCTCAAGCTCAGCACCACAAGCTAAATCTAAACACGGTCCTGGGGCTTCCGCTCTGAGCTGGGATGAGAATTCACGGTGCAGGAGCTCCGTCACTCGGCACCCTGAAAACAGTGCCAGACCCTCTTTATTCCCACGTGTGATATTTAATCCATTGGGCGTATTTCTAAGTGTTCTCTCACTAAAATATCTGAGCTGTCAAGAACATCTAAAGTGAGTGTCCGGAATCGAGGGGACACAAATGTGGCCATAGCACAGATTTCAAATGGACCAGCTTCTCATCGATCTGCTTTGCTTTTCCAGCCTTGAGAATCCATGTGAGTGGCTCCACCATAGCCATCCTGAGGAGAACTGAGTGCCAGTTTTTGTATGAAGTGAGAGGAGAAACGTACTTAAAGGTAAGGGGCCCGCAGAGACAGCACCCAGAAAAGCCACTCACACACCCCCGTGGGCCACTTCCTCTGAGACTGGACCCCCAGTGGTCAGTAATATCAGGGAACATAAGATGAAGAACCCTTTTTGTACTCCCTGCATGCATCTCCCTCTGTCTTCGCGATGATCACTGGCCATCCCCGCGGTGGTCACCCACTATCCCATGTAGGAGAAGCCACCCCCAAAGAATGTGAACTCGGCTTCCCTTTACTTCAATGAGCCCTTTTCATATTCTGAACTATGACCTCTATGTTATTAAATGCTGCCACCATTTCTTCCACAGGCACCCAAGTTTTTCCCCCAATTCCTCCTTTATACCCAAGAGCCACAGTCCAGTTCAGGACTAATTTAACTACAGTCAATGTCCCGTCTCCTTACATCCTTGGACTTATTTCAAGATGCTGCCACTCTAAGGCCAGCTCTCCAGCCAGTTGCTTTATCATTCAAATCTCTGGACAAGAGATGACAAGCTGCCCATCAAAGCCACCAAATGCCTCCACTTGGCTCTCGGGCTGCTTTTTGAAGGTCATTACAATCTTTTCACAGTTGGTTTGAGGCCAACTATTGCCAGTAAGATCATCTGTCTCCAGTAGCCATAGCGCTTCTAACCTTTTTGCTGTGGTTACAACGTAAGCCTCCTTTTGTGTAGTAGTGTCCCAACACCACACTCTCTTTGTAATCCTCCATACATACATTTTCTACACCGAGCATTTCTGCCCAGATGGAAACAGTTTATGGATTACCACAGTTCAAACACATTAAAAAAAAAACAACACTATTTTTAAAGATGAATTATATGTATATATCCATCCCTCTTCTTTACAAATACCAGCTCTAGCAAAAACAGGATTTTCAGTAAGTTTCCATTCATTTTATAACCTCCAGATGGGCCTAGAAAACATCACTTAATAAGTGTTTAGTATGATACACATGTGTTTATAGTTTACACTCTTTAGGTAGAGAAACTGGTAAAACTTTTGTGACAAACTTCATGGCAAAATGAGCCAGAAGATGATGTGGGTAATGAAAACCAGTCGGATTTGTTGGCATAACATAACTGTAGATGAATTTTCTTCCTTTTTAATTTAGATTTCTTGTGATGTTGCCGTAGTGATATTTTAAAATTTTTGGGGAGGGAGGATTTTACTTTGAAGAAAACATGTCTGGTGATTTAAAGACTTGTTTTTATTAATTTGAGAGAGAGAGATCAATTTGTTGTTCCGCTTATTTATACACTCACTGGTAGATTCTTGTATGTGCTCTGACTGAGTCTTGAACCCATAACCTTGGCATATTGGAATGATGCTCTAACTAACTGAGCTACCAGCCAGGGCAAGAGACTTGTTTCTAAAGTGGCACTTGGAGCCTTAGCTGTTTTGGCTCAGGGTTTGGAGCATCAGCCCAAGGACTGAAGGTCAAAGGTTTGATTCCCATCAAGGGCATGTACTTTGGTTGCAGACTCCAATCCTGGCCCTATTCAGGGTTTGTGCAGAAAGCAACCAATTGACATGTCTCTCTCCTCTCTCTCTCTCTCTCTCTCTCTCTCTCTCTCTCTCTCTCTCTCTCTCTCTCTCTCTCTCTTTCTCTCTCTCTCTCCCCTTCCCCCCCCCCAAGGGACAAAATATCCTCTGGTAAAGATTAACAAAAATAAAATAAAAAGGCATTTGGAAATTAGCTCTGTCCATATGTCATGCAGACCATATCAGGAAGGTGTGCTACACTGAAATATAGGCACTGATGAGGAACTCAGAGGGGAAAAGTTTCTTAGAAATGACACTTGTCAGAACAGTGGGCTGGGACTGATCTGTCTCATTGGCCTCCATGGTACTCACCTCTCTCGTCTCACTAGGGAAAAGGAACTGAGACCACCTACTGGCTGACCGGAATGAAGGACCAAAAATACAACCTGCCAACCCCTCCTACGGTGTAAGTTGCTAGGTGTGGTGGGGGAGGGGAGTAGAGATGTTGACTTTGTAAGTTGGGCTTCGTACAGCTAACTTTTTTTGGCAAGTGCTTTGACAGTGTCAGTGGTGCATTAAATATGAGGACTACAGGTGTGAGAAGTTTAGAAACTTCCCTTCTCTGGCTGCTAGAGGCTGGGTATTCCAGGCATGCCCAGAAGAACAGAGGACGGTGGAGAGCTCACTTCCTGTGCGTCTGGTTCTGATAAGAGTAAAGCACGCTGGAGGCCAACAGGCACTCTGCACCTCCACCCCTGCCTCCGGCTCTCTGCTGGGCCACATGGTAACAATGGAATCTGCCCCATTCCTACGGCTGTGGTTCTGGGTCCTCCCATGGAATGTGTGCTCTCCCTGAGACGAGGAAGACAGGTTCCAGGTCTGACTGACAGTCTCAGTTCCACTAACGCTGACTCAAACTGTCACCAGGTTGCACAGTGGTTGCTGCAGTCAGTCACGTGGCTGTTGCTGTGGCATTTGCTATGGTAGAGAAACCCCATCTTGCAGACTCCAGACAGATGGCAAGCCTATAAATGCCAAAACCACCCAGGTCTTCCCTGGGGCACAGGGGACCTGGCCTCTTCCTGGGAGTGCTCCACGTCCATTTCAAATTCTTGAAACCCTCCATTCATTCTGAGTCCTCCCCGGACACTCCTAGGGATGTGTGGGACCAACACGTTTCCAGGGTTGGGTTGCAGGGGCCCAGTATCGCTCTGGCCTCTTGCCCCCTCCCTGCAGTGGCATGGGTGAACCTAACAGCGCCAAGTTCTAGCAGCGTGGTGTTTCACTTTGAAATTGAAATGACAATTTTCAGTTTGAAATATATTCTGCCTTTTCTATATATTCAACTGCATAGGGTAGGCTAATGGTGCCTTTTGGTCATCCAAGGCAAGCCTAATTATCCGGACTTCCTGTGTCTGGCAGGAAGCAGCCTTTGATACATGCCGGGTAAACTGAGCAGGTTGTTCTGGAGCAAAGAAATATTCTGCATGAATTGCTGAGAAGTTCTATTTTCCCTCCCCACTCACCTTCCAGGGAGAATCAACAGCGCTTGCAGGCTGAGTTCTCAGACATGATCGCCAACTCCTTGCAGAAGAGGCAGAGTGCAGGGATAAGAAACCGAAGACCCACGCGGGTAGCCAGCTACAAAAAGGGCTCTCTGGAATACATGCAGCTGAACATCACAGACGAGGAGAACACCCTTTTTTAAACCTATGAGGCCCAAGGACTCAGGCAAATGAAGTCCTGAAGCGTCCATTTCCCTGAGACCTCAGTGGAACACAAGACTCAGATGCCTCCTACTGAGCCTCTAACAGCGGGTATTATAACCCACCCACCATCCTATTTGTTTCTATACAGACTCTGACTGACCAATAACTTATAAAAGCGTGTTTATATAAGAATCCTAGGAACTGACTTCAGATACAGACTCCGACCTTCAGTCATCCCAGTTCTGGGGGATTTGCTGACCTTCAGCCATAGAACCAGGATGACAAAGACCAGGGTGACACACACAGACCATCACTTGGCCAATTTCGAGGCCCTTATCGGGATGAACTGTGTGGCCTGCACGTAGAGAACTTTTCACCCCTGTCCCTTGGTCTCTTTGTTCTGCTTTGCCTCTCCCTCCTCGTTAAAACCCCTGCCTGCTCTGAGATGTTGAGCTGGGCTTTGTGGCAAGAATCTCCCATCTCCTCACGTGACTGGCCCTTGAATAAAACCTCTTTCTTTTTTCACCAGCATCTGTCTCATGAGTTTGGTTTTTGTGGTGGAAGGTAGCCGCACTTGGGTTCCAGTTACAAGCTTTGGCTGCATGTCTGGAACATTTTATAAGAATATTCTGGAACCCTAATCAGTTTGGCTTGTGGATAGAGCATTGGCCTGCAGACTGAAAGGTCCCAGGTTCAATTCTGGTCAAGGGCATGCACCTTGGTTGCAGGCATATCCCCAGTTGGGGGTGTGCAGAAGGCAGCTGATCGATGATTCTCTCTCATTGATGTGTTTAACTCTTTATCCCTCTCCCTTCCTCTTTGTAAATAAATAAATAAATAGCCGGGACTGGTTTGGCTCAATGGATAGAGCGTCGGCTTGGGGACTGAAGGGACCCGGGTTCGATTCCGGTCAAGGGCATGTATCTTGGTTGCGGGCATATCCCCAGTAGGGGGTGTGCAAGAGGCATCTCTCTCATTGATGTTTCTAACTCTCTATCTCCCTTCCTCTCTGTACAAAAATCAATAAACTACCTTTTATTCTGAAGCCTGATATCAACACTTGTTTCAGGGAGCTTCAACCTGGGAAAGAGGAATGGATGTACTATCTCAAAGTTGACAGTTTTTTTCTCATTTCATTTATATTGTTTTTGTTTTATTTACTGGCTCTTTTTCTTTTTATATTCATGATAGGATATTTTAAATTGTTCATTATATTTTAGATATCTTATCTCTATTAAATTTTATTTAACTCATAATTTTTGCAGAAAATATGCTGTATGTTAGGATTAATAAGCTATAATTGGGATTGTATATACAGAGTGTCCCCCCAAAATGTATATACACACTTTAACAGCTGATGGCTCAATTTTGAAGATGAATTGTATTTTAATAAACACTGCCTTTATAATTATTCAGTGTGTGTGGATACATTTTGGGGGGACACCCTCGAGTTAATGGTTGAAAGCTTACTGAGACTGTGTGTTTCCACCCATTCCTCCCATTTTCCTGAATTGCACCAGCCCCATCTTGTGCCGGCTAAATCCACCCATACAGAAACATAGCAAAGCTAGCATCGCTGCTCAGGGCTAAGAACCTTGACATTCAGTATCGCTGAGGAGACTTGGTTTAGTCCTCTACCAAAGGAGGCAGGGCCTGCAGCTAACTGAGGTCTGGGATAAAGTCAAATCTTGTTTAACTGTAAAGACACAGAACTTCAAACCACAGATATGCCTTTCCTGCCATCCAACAGCCATCCCGGGACCCTTCTTGTGGCACCCCAGCACGATTCGATTGCTTGGCATTCCTGGGGAATGGCAAAAGTCAAGTGGTGTTGAGCAGACTGGAATCAGCAAAGGCAAGCAAGTCAAGCTTGTAACACTTCCAGCGTTAACCTTCAGAGCTAAAACAACTACTTCAAACACTTCCCCTCCCCAGGCCTCTGCCATGGAAACCACTCAGAGATTCAGAAACGTTGTCTTTTCCATCTCCTGAAAAAGCAGAAAAATCAAATGGTAAGCCCTAACCGGTGTGGCTCAGTGGATAGTGCGTCAGCCTGCAGACTGGAAGTTCTCAGGTTAGATTCCCGTCAAGGGCATGTACCTTGGCTGTGGGCACATCCCCAGTAGGGAGTGTGCAGGAGGCAGCTGGTCGATGTTCCTCTCTCATTGATGTTTCTAGCTCTCTATCTCTCTCCCTCTCTGTAAACAATCAATAAAATATATTAAAAAAAGAAAAAGAAGAAAAAATCAAATGGTAATAGAATAAATTATCTCCTGATTTACAGGTTGAGAACGAATATGCAGCAAGAGTAAGAGTCCTTTCTTGGAGTCTGGAGGTGTATAATCTATCTGCCTCAGTGTCTTGCACAAGGAGATTTTTCTGCGCGAGATGAGGTTGTGACATGAACATTCTTGATCCCTCATTTAGGAGTTTATCTTCTTATTTCAGGAACTGGGCGTGGGGAATTATAGAAGCATGGTCTCTGCCAAGTTTTGAATCCTGTAGGGGAGAGAGAAATGTAAAAAGATAAGTAGGTTTTGGTACAAAGCAGTGTTCTTGACAGCGGGCAAAATTAGCAACTTCAACATCAACCAGAAAAACTCCAAAGCATCTTTAATGCTAAGGGGCATTGCTAAAGCATCTCACCAGCAGGCTCATGCTTGTCTTTATTACAGGACCTACATGGTTGTGAAACATTTCTCTGCCATTAAACAGATGTGTGGCCTTGGCTTGTCCACTTAGCAATATGATTACAGGATACCAGTGATGACAGCAACTAAGAATGGGACCTAAGCAAGGGTCAGATTCTTGCACTGCTCTCTTCTAGCTGAGAGTTAATTAATTAATGTCTCCAAGCTCCTGATGTTTCATTAATAAACCATGAATCATAATATCCACCTCAAAGGGTTGTTATTAAGATTTTTTTAATTGAAATTTATCAAGCACCTGGCAGTGTCAGTCACATTAGGTTTTCAACAAATAACCTCTACCTTCCATTTTCCCCTCTCTACTTACTTTATATTTAACAATTAGTTATAGAATTTTCAAATGTACACAAATTTAGATGGAATATAGCTAATGAATCCCTAAATAGTCATCATCAGTTTTAAGAATTATCAAAAAATAAAAAAATAATCTGAGAAAGAAATTTATATTCATTTACAGATTTAATAATTCATTTAAAATTCAATATCAATGTGATAATGAAGAAGCAGCAATATGATTGTTTTAGGCTAACCTAGGATAATTGCTATAACTGCCTCATAGTAGTAATAAAATTTTGAAAAATACCACTTTTCAATATTTATTTTTTTAATTTTTAATTTTTTAAAATATATTTTATTGATTTTTTACAGAGAAGAAGAGAGAGGGATAGAGAGCTAGAAACATCTATGAGAGAATCATCAATCAGCTGCTTCTTGAACACCCCCTACTGGGGATGTGCCCGCAACCAAGGTACATGCCCTTGACCGGAATCGAACCTGGAACCTTTCAGTCCACAGGCTGACACTCTCTATCCACTGAGCCAAACCAGTTTCGGCAAAATTTATTTTTTTTAAATCCACGTATAAGTGGACCTGTGCAGTTCAAGGGTCAGCTGTAGTTGCTAATAATGCCGTTAGAGTGGTCTTCCCATTGCTTGCAAGAGATATGTTTCAACACCCTCAGCAGATGCCTGAAATCATGCATAGTATCATGTTCTATATATCCTGTTTATTCATATATCCAGGGGTGGACAAAAGTAGGTTTACAGTTGTAAGTTGCACAAAGCAGTTTATTCTTGTATTATTATTCATTAGTTATTATATTTCTTTTAAATGCACAATTGTAGAACTACTTTTGCCCACCCCTGTATACACCTATTATAAAGTTTAATTTATAAGTTAGGCACTGTAAGAGAGTCACAATAACTAATCATAAGATAGAACAATTATAACAGTACTGGAGGCCTGATGCCCGAGATTGGTGCAAGGGGCTTGGCCTTCACAATCCCGGCTTATTCAGCTAATATGCTAATTAGACCATAATGAATGTGATCTCTCACTCTCTCTCAGAATATCTTATTGTACTCTGCTCACACTTCCTGTGATTATGTGAGGTGCTCATGTGATGAGATGAAGTGAGGTGAATGACACAGGCACTGTGACATAGCATTAGACTAATATAAGGGTTACTTGAACACAAACCATGCCAGTCAATCTGATAACCAAGATGGCTACTCAGTGACTAATGGGGCGGGCAAAGGGATAATTTGTTCATACACAGCTGGACAAAGGGATAATTCACAATCCAGATGGGACGGAGTGAGATGGTGAGAGCTTTTATCATGCTACTCAGAACAAAAATTTAAAACTACGAATTGTTTATTTCTAGAATTTTCCATTCAATAGTTCTGGACTACCATTGACTGTGGATGACTGAAACCACAGAAAGTGAGTATATGAGTAAGGGGGAACTACTGATTTTATTCTGTAAAACCTGTTTTGTTCATGTGCTTACACATATGCATACACCATACAATGCAATCCCAGTTTAATGCATCTATCCCAAGATAAAATGCATCGCCGAAACCAGTTTAGCTCAGTGGATAGAGCGTCGGCCTACGGACTGAAAGGTCCCAAGTTTGATTCCGGTCAAGGGCATGTACCTTGGTTGCAGGCACATCCCCAGTGGGTGGTGTGTAGGAAGCAGCTGATCAATGTTTCTCTTTCATTGATGTTTCTAACTCTCTGTCCCTCTCTCTTTCTCTCTGTAAAAAAATCAATAAGAAATATATATATTTTTAAAATGCACCTTATCTTGCACCTTAAAATAACTGCAATTTTATATCATGTAGACTATTCCATCAAATTATTTAAGGTATTAACCCAACCCAGGGTAGACAGAGTTATTGGCCAAACAACAATAACACAGTAACACACTCCCTTGATTGTGTCCTAACATTTGGACCTTTGTTATAGAAAGCATGAATTGTCACTTTCAGTTCTATATTTCTTTGGAAATAAATAAAAACGAGATTTATGAAAGAACAGACTTCTGTAAAACTGGAAGTTGTATAAAAGCTTCCTGCATTTTCTAAAAAGATCCTTGATTATCCAGTCACTGGTTCAACTCAGGAACAAAACCAGCATGGAGCAGTGCTTCTCGAAGCACCCTGTGCATACCTGTATCACAACACTCACCACACTGGCCAACTGAACTATTAACCTTCTAGACCCCTCAGTCAATGAACTCTTCAAAAGCAGGGGCTGTGGTTCATTCATCTCTATATTCACAGAGCCCAGCACAGTGCCAGGAATACAGTAGGCACTTTGCACGTGGTTGTTGAAATCTAACTATGGTTTAAGCCAGTGGTCGGCAAACCCATTAGTCAACAGAGCGGCAAACAGGTTGCACACAGGTCTTTAACCACTGGTTTAAGCTATTTAATTTTATCAATCCTTTAGCTTAAGGTGAATTGGGCCTGAGATTTGCCAGGAGCTCCACTGGGCTGGAAGAGAGAGCTGAGCTGCCTGTTGTTGGTGTAGC